ATGAGAAGTAAATGTTAAACAATGTGGGAGCTAGCACACAGCCAGCTCTGTTGCTAATGTTGAATGTGTCAGACTCTTGGTTTTCATACATTACAGTTGCCTTTATGCCATCTTATAAGGATCTCACAAGGTTTAACAGTATAGGTGGACCACCAAGCTTCTTCAGAACAGTGTAAAGTCCTGATCAACTAACCATGTCAAAGGCTTTTGTTAAATCTAAAAGCCATGTACAGTGGGATATGCTTCTCTTTGCACATTTCCTGCAGTTGTCTTACAGAAAAGACCATATCTATGGTGGACCTTTCCAAGTGGAAGCCACACTGGCTCCCAGTATCTCAGTTAATGTTTGAAGTCTAGGTAAAAGAATATGGCTTAACATTTTTCCCGCAATGTTGAGAAGAGATATACCTCTGTGGTTATTTTACAGTCACTTCTGTCTCCTTTGTGTTATAGAATTGGATGAAATGAGCATCCTTGAAATCTTGCTGAACAGTTTCTTCCTTCCAATAGAGTAACAATACCTTGTATAATCTTTGCAGCAAGTCTTTGTTTGTACATTTGTAAATTTCAGCAGGTAAAGTCGGATTCTGAAGATTTGGTATTGGGGATCTTTTTAATGTATTGTTCAAGTGTCTTTAGTGTAGGTTTGGCATCCAGCAAAGTCATAACTTCAAACCTAGGCAAGTCTTCTAGCACACATTAGTCTTCTACAGACTCCCTTATGTATATCCTTCCATGATGCTAGTTGCTTCCCCTTGTCAGTAATGATGTTACCATCCAGGTCTTTCAACAGAGTTGTCTCGTACTTTGTTGCCCTTTGGCCTTCCTAATGCCCTTACACAACCATCTGTTGTTGACTTCATCAGCTACCAGTTGGATGTTGTTGCAGGGACTTTGCCAGAATTCTTGAGAACAGCTCCTGGAAGCTTTTTGAACAGCCCTACAAGCTTCTCTTAGGTTGAGTGAATCAGTAATAAGAGTAGACCTGCAGGTGATTAGGGCAGTTCTTTTTCTCTCAATGAGTAGCAGCAGTAGTTCCGAATGGTCTACAAACTAGTCAATGATTTTCTTAGTATTCTTTCCAAAACTCTTGATTGCTGAATTGTACATACTTGTTTTCAGGACTTCCCATGCATCTGATGCAGTTTCATTCATTCCATCTGACTTTGCTGCTACTTCATTGAAAAGCTGTTTCTTGACAGAATCATTGATTTGCACAAGTCAATAAGAGGTTGTCCAGCAGGTTTATTATGGTGGATCTTCTTAGCTTGTAATTTCACTTTGCCATAGACAAGGCAGTGGTCTGTGTCACAGTCGGTGCTTTAAAAGCATTGTGTATGCAAGATATCTTTCAAGTGTGTATCTCTTGTCAGTACCAAGTCCAGCTGATGCCAGTGCTTGGAACTCGGGTGTCTCCACAATGTTCTTCTTCTGACGTTACCAGTAAAGAAGGTGTTGGTCACCGATGAGCCTTGACTTGCACAAAGCTCAAGGACTCTCTGACTCTTGTCATTGATATGTCCAATGCCATGCCTACCCAGAATACCTGGCCAAATCTCAGCATTGGACCCAAGTATTGCATTGAAGTCTGAAGTACTAGAATGGGTTCCTTCCATGGAATCCTGCCAATGAGTTCTTCCAGCTGTTGATAGCTGTCCTTCTCATCACTTGCCTGCAGAGTTGGAGCATAGAAACTGATGAGATTGATGAATCCGTTGTGTAGATTAACCGAAAGGCGTCATGGTATGTATGGACACAGCAATTGGAGCTTCACACAATGACATGTTCATTTCTGATAGTAGAACTTACACCATGCTATCTCCTTACTCCTTCAGGTTTGCTATGCCAGTAAATGGTGTAGCCCTTCTCCTTTATGAAGCCTGTGTCTGAGAGCCAAGTTCCCAAAAGAGCTGCAATATCCATTTTGAAACGTGCAAGCTGATTACTCCACACAGCCATTTTTCTCAGATCTGAATCAGATCAAAGTCATATCCAAGGGTCAAGTCCATATATTCCAGCAAGCAATTCTGTTTATAAAATCAGTTGAACCAGGATGTAAGCAGTGAGGTGTAAGGCTTGTTTGTCCCACATTTTCTAGGGCCACCCTCATGCAAGGCAAGCAGGCCTTCCCTAAATAGGGCTGCTTGGAAATCTTGGTAGCTGCCTCAGGGCCCTTATGCCTCTTTCAGATGCCTATGACCATCTTACCAAGACCTTTAGCACATACGCCTAGGCAGAGTTATGGAGTAGTAGAGGCTGCCATAGATCTACCATCCCCCCGTTAGACCACTGAGCCAAAATCCAAAGGCCAGAACAAGTCTAGATATTCATTGACATAGAGGCTGCAGCTTCTGCCAGAGAGTAACCTGAATAGAGCTGCTAACTGCCTGTTGCTTCAGCATGAGCACCTTTTCTGTCAGGGTGAAGCCCTTTAGCCTTTCCTCAACCAAGAAGTGTCCACAAGGCAGTGGAGGATGCAGTTTAATGTCACACTCAGGACAATAAACAGTAACAACAAAATAAAATAAACCAAATTAGTTTTCTTCAGATGTTTTGAAAATCAAGCTGTCTAACATCATTGCATCCCTGTATCCCTGCTCTGAATAGGCAATGCATGGCCACCTGAGCTGGAAAGGGGAAAGATCTAGCCAGCTTGCAGATTTTAGAAAGACTGCAAGCTGCATTTGGGTGGGTGCCCAGGATGAGCACCCTTTGGCACTGTCGTTTGAGACGGACAGAGAAAGGGAGATGGGGTTTCTATTGCATTTATTGTTATAACTGTTTAAATTGAATAATGTGTTTTCTCGGGGTAAAGGAAAGAATGCTTGGGTGGGGGGGGGCAACATCCCCTCTTCAAGAGGGAGGTACAGGCTTGGGAGGGACTCACTTGTGTAAGGCAGGGGAGTGCGTGAGGTAGGACAACCCAGGCCCTCCTGTGAGAGAGGGGAGGTCTGGGCTTGAGAGGGACAGTAAGGATGATGGGAAGACTCTCCTGGATGTGAGGGATGAGTCTGCATAGGGATGGGAAGGAGTATTGGGAGGGGAATTTCTTTTCTTTTGTGGAAGCATTGGATGTAGGTTAGGAATCGGGTTTGACCAGGCAAGGGTCAGGGGGAAGAAGCAGGGGAGCAGGAGGGTATGAAATTGGGTGGATTGTTTTTTAATTTGGAGGTTTGGGTAGGAGGGAGGGTTTTTTTTCATTATACTTTTTCATTTTAAAATTTTATTTTGTTTTAATATGTTTCATGTATTTTACTATAAGCTGACTGAAGCTTTTTTGGGGAAGGATGGCATCCAAATTAATATATACAATAAATGAATGAATAGTAGCTTTATAAAATAAGTGAAACTTCTAACATTTATGTTCTATCTTAATCTAAATCAAATAGCTAATAACAATACAATTTTCTTGTTTTCAAATCACCTTTAGGTTTCTTGCACCCTGTTTTATAACACAGGTTAATATATTTGGCAGTAACTGAGACTAGCTTGTCACTTTAGGAAAAAGTAATTGCATATTTTTTTACTGACTGGACTGCTAAAGCGAGGGGAGTATTCTTTTTGGGAAATGAGCTGTAAATCTTATTCTTACTTTAAACCCGTTAGCACCAACAGTATGTACTGAATAGCCAGACTAAGGTAGGCACCTCTTGTCGTGTTAATTTTAAACGCACAGTTTAAATTTTTTATAAAGTTGTTTCACTCTATTTTTTACGCTTTTTGGCCAGGTGACATTACAGCATGCGGGTTGCAGGTGATCCTGCATCAACCATAGGTTAGCAAAATATTTTAGAAAAGGAATATTATTAATCTTGGAGTGGGAAGAAGACTGAATATCATGCTAAATGCCCTGTAAATTAGTTCTGTGTTTCACTAGGCTTCCACAATTGTTGTGACAGTCATTATTGCTCATGGAAAAAAATATTGATATGGAAGCTGAAAATCTTGTTTTTGATGCCAAGAAGAAAATTAAATCATGTTTTTAAGCTAGTAAGGCTGTAACTCTCATGAAGCTCATGATTTTCTTGTGAGGGTCCCTTACATTATATTGGCTTTGCACAAGGGGCTTTTAAGTCAGTCTCAATAACTTCAGCTCGCTGAAGTTTCATAAAAAAGTCTCTGCAAATGAGAATCTTATCCATAATTTTGTGAAGTACATGCTTATTCTGGCCACTGCAAAAATTCAGCATGTATTATTAAAGCTGAGATGATATTTTACAAAAGTTATTCTGGTATTTTACAAAAGTTTTTCTGATTCTAAAGGCTGATGCTGTATGAGGAAGGAGTAACTGATGGGGGACGAGAGATTAGGAAATGAAGGGAATTTTTTATGTACATATAAAATATCTAGTGTGTTAATAGATACATCAAACAAAATTATTGCTTAATAACTCTTTGTGTGGATAGATACACTGACTGTGATTATTTTTTTCAAACAGAAATTTATAAACCGGAAGAAAAGAAAAAAATTGGAACAAAAGTCTATCAAAATTCTTCTAAAAGCCTTCAAGAAAAACAGGAACTGATCACTCAATGCAATACTGAAGCAGATAAACTGCCAGATATGCCAACAACAAGCCTGTGGAAAATTCAGACTACTAGTGTCCAAAATATTTGTGTAGAAGATGTTGCCTCTCATTTTACTAATGAACTGAGGTGAATGCAAGCACCCCTTCCCTCCCTGGATTCAGAATATTTTGCTGTAATAAATTAACTTTTCACACTTCCATTGAAATTCATTGGGATGCAGGCTGCTATTTTCCTTAGCCTATCATCTATATTATCAAGGCCAAACTTTTTGGCAGACATACCAAAAGTTGAGCCTTGTGCGCTTCCCAAGTGCCACCTTGATCCCCTTTTCCTGCCTGATCTGCTGCTACTCCTTGTTCCCTCCCATATCTGTCACTTGGGACACACATGTTGCAGGTTGGCCACCCCAGCTTGGGTTCAGAAATGACACATCAATCAGTATAAGTGTTTGGAAACTGGATCAAAAACTGATTGCAGACTGGCACAACAGAAGTTCAGTGCACATAAACTACTTTCAAAATTACTCAAAGCGGTAAGATAAACCTCGATGGATCTAGTATCAGACTTAACTGACTTAGGTTAAATTGTTATATTGAACTTCTGTCCGAGATCCCCTCCAGATTCAAGTTTACTCCTAGCCCTCCAACATCCTAGGATCATTTGCACCTCTGTCATAAACCTCCCCTTCACAGGGTGGGCAGCCTAGCCTTGGCCCAAGCTGTCTGCTCCAGCTGAGCATGAACATGTGCTCTAGCACTCCCCAACTTCTGGCCTGGGCCACTGCAGGCATGTGGCTGCATTTGCAGAATCAAGAATGAATGTCTATTCATTTGCTTATCAATTCAATCTACACAGCTTAGACTAACCTGCAGAGACTGAATCAATTTAGCCTTGGGCTTTTTGACTGTCTGTACTTGGCCTCCTCCTCTATGCATTGTGCACTATAACATATAACATACGTACATCTAATAGAATACTATAGTGATAAAAATGGTCAACAAACCTATGCTCTGCCCCACACAACTCCCTCTCAGCCCCTCTCAGTTTCACCTCCAGGCCTGATCCAAAGCTGTGTGGTAATGTTTTGAGTGTTGTTTTTCGGGGGTGTGGGGGGGCATTTAACATGGGGTTACAGTAAATCTGCTCTGTGGATATCAAAACAAGGTACAGTCACTGCCCTGAAAAACTTGTAAAACCCATATTGAACAAAGATTAAAAATGAAGTTTAACATTAGAAAGAAAGAATTTGCAAAGGATGGACAAGGATTGAACAAACAGAATAGTGGAAGTCACTTCACATTGTGAATGAAATTCTGACACTAGTTACTAGAATTGTGTTGGACAAGAAGCGAGTGAGCACAGGAATGAAGGTCACTTTTATAACCAGTTCACTTATTTGTAGCAAGTGAATTGAAGCGATGGTAAGGAAGATAAATGTAGAAGCAGCAAAAGGTGTAATGAGGGTGAGGAGGATGTGTACCACGTGGCATGAGACAAGAAACAAAGGGAGAAGGGAGGTCAGATATAGGCAAAGGCTTAAAAGGAGGATGAGTAATCACAGTATGTTTAGAGATACTTTTCTGCCAAGTAACCTGGAGCGTGGGTATGTATGTTGAGGCAGGGGGTGGGAGAGAGAGTTAATATGGCTGAAACAGAGAGGGGTAGAAAGTCTCCAGTCACAGTATAGATCGAAAAGGGAAGGATTAGGGAGGCTGGGGTTCGAGGAGGTAATTGTAGTATAGCTCAGGTCAAGGAGAACCACGCTGTGTGAGCTGGGGTTTGGCAGTTGAGGACTTGAAGGAAAAACAAGATTTTTTTCCCCCTCTTGTATTTCTAAGGTCTTGTGAAGGCTTTAATGTGAGAAAAGAGAAGTAGGGTCAAGACAACTCTTAGGGCATTTATACACGTACTTTTCTGTCTCACAACATGCCGGAGATCTGCCACTTCGGAGCAGACTCGATTAATTGGGTCTGCTCCGCACGCGAGCTGAGGTGAACTGTGCTGCACCACCTGCAGTTATATAAGTGGTGAGATGCACATCAGCATGCAGAAAATGGCAGCAATATGCTTTTGAAGTAAAGCACCTGTGATGTGTTTTAGTTCAAAAGCACGCCACTGCCATTTTCTGCACTCTGACATGCATTTTGCCATTTACACAACTGTAAGTGTTGCAGCACCGGGCGCTTTTCAAAGCACTCGGTGCTGTGGCGCTTGCATGTGTAAAATGCCCTTAGGCTTGAGGTGGGAAGGGTGTTGAGTTGTCAGTGGTGATGGTGACAGGATGGAGATGTCTTTCTATTCTCATCCTCCACAATATTCTCTCTCCCCCCCACCACATATTGTCTTTCATAATATCATCTCCCTAACCTGATACGTCCAGCTGGTACAAGGCCCACAACAAATGTTTGGTTACCACTGTAGGCTAGGAAAAGCATCCCTAGTGTCTTTTTATTCATTTTTAGGAGTAATATAAACTCCCGTCTTATGTTACCAGTTGTCCAATGTATGCTATGAGAACTTTGGACTTATCTGCAGAATTTCCCATTCTTTATCTTTTCCTATTTGAAGTACTATGACCATCTTATTGTATTTAATTATCATTGCAAAGCAATTTAATCTTAAGAGCTGTTGTTCCATGAAAGAGTAATTTATTTACTAGGCATAAGAGCTTTCAAAGACTCCTTAGTCATTTCTGAAAATAAGTTTGAGCTCCAAGTTCACTTAAATGCTTTTAAAAATTTTAAATCTTCAGTTGTCGGGCAGGGTTCACCATCAGTATTTAATAATGATTATCTTGTATTGGGGCTCTTATGTGCAACAGTCATGGGTCAGACCCCATCCTGATGGGCACTGAATAATTAAGATAGACCCTGCCCCAAAGAGCTTGCAATCAAAACAGAAGATAAAAAACAATAAGATGAAAACAGACATGGCTAGGGGTGGGTGGTATGAGGAAATGAGATGAAAACAGACATGGCTAGGGGTGGGGGGTAGGAGGAAAAGATGATGAGATCTTGCTACTGAGTTTGAAAGGCAATATTTTGCTCAGTGTGCTAGCAGAATTAGTATTCTCAAGCTCTTTGTAGGCATCATGGCTAAGGACAGTTATTAAGGAAGCTTTGAAAGGTGCCTAATGAGCGTTTTGCGGGAAGCACTTTCCAATCAGGTGTGGTAGTGTGGGAGAAAGCATGAAAGTGTTTGCCCACTTGCCAGCTTTCAAACAATTGAGGCTGGCATCATTGGCCAATAAAATGCAAGAGGCATATTTTCAATGCTAAATGAGAAATGATAGGCTGTGAAGGGCTTTGAGAGTGATGACAAATAATTTGTTTGATGTGATAAGGAGCAAGGGACCCAATGGACAGATGCTTAAAGAGAAGTGACATGAAACAAGCAATGAGGTTGGAAAATGGTTTCTGTAATAATAGATCGTTTTTATTTTTCTCATAATTATTTCTAGGATTTATGTTATATTTGGAAATAGCACAAAAAGCGGATGATGTCATGGGTACTAAGTGAAAGAATGTACAGTATTGTAGTGTGATACCTGCTCTAAAGTGTGAAGGAGTTTGCCTTGGTTCTGACTTAAAAGTAAGATCCAGCTTATCTACAAATAGCAGGTGAAGGACAACAATATTTTTAAACAACCTTGCTTTGATAGGTTGTAGAAAGGCAGACTTAAGGTTTTGTGGTCATTGCTGTTACCACTAAAACCAGTTTCAATTTTAATATCATTGGTTTAGCTAGAGAGTCTCCTAGCAGTGATAGCCAGAAAATAATTTTGTGCTTGAAGTGAGCTTGCCTCACTAGGGTTTATTTCACATTAACAGCAAAATAGTCATTAAAAAGTTTCAGAAGTTAAGTCCACTCAGCGTCTTTCCAAAAATTATCTTTTAAACCCCTTTTAACTCTTTCCTGTCTTCAGGTAAGTGATTTTTAGAATGCTCTGGGTGGTTAAAAAAAAAAAAAAAAAAGAAGAAGAAAAGAAAGACCTGTTTCTAAATATACTGTTTGAAATAATAGAATCTTTTTTATAGATTTTGTAGAGGAGGAATTCCTTGGCCTGATCTCTGAATATTTTCATTTCATTTCATTTCATTAAGCATCGTCCATTCTACTGAAAAATAAGCTTTCGTTTGAGCATCAATTTGATCCTCAGATATTTCATTACTTTGTCACTGCAGGTTAAGCCCAGCTTTTTAATATTTACTTCCTTTAAGCATTTCCCATTTATAGGCTTCATATCCTATTTATCTTAGTTTATTTTATATCCTGACATTTTAGTAAATTTGTTTATTATTTCAAATACTACTGGTATAATAGGTTTAAGAGATGATAAAAAGACAGCATGCATCTATGTGGTTATTTTATAAATTATAAATCTGAGATAGCTAACAAATAACTAGATTTTGTAAACTGAAGATGTAATGAATATTTGGACAATTTTGTTCAGTATTTGATAAAGGTATTTTTGTTTTGTTTTTAACACAGATCTGCAGAACAAGGTGGCAGAGTGCTCTCTGACTTTGTGACCTCTTGGAAGGATGCTGCCAACCAAGATAAAGAAATGAATATTTCATTTCTTTTAAAAGAATTGGACTTTGAGAGAACCAACAATAGAAAGGTACAATTGAGATATTCAAATTATAGTACTTGCTATTTTTCTTTTTCCTACTAAATCTACATTTTAACCTTTCCCAATTTTGGTGTACTATTTATTTTAGCACATTAATCAATAGCTTCCTTGTCATTTGGACTCTTAGTATTTATTTAACAAATGATTCTTGGGAAGTAATTAATCTTTTATTCTCTCCTATGACCTTTTTAATCAGTGACATGAATTTCTGCATCATAGATGCAGAAATAAAGCTTATTTTCCCACTCATCTGCAAAATAAGCAGATGAGTGGGATCATTCATTTACATTTTACTGGCTTTTCATTACACTTATGGAGCCTGAAAAATTTGGAGATACAAGTCTTAATCCAAAATCTATTCAAATTAATTGGAAAGTTCCAATTGCTTTCAATCAGTCATGGATCAAGGCTCACAGCGAACTTGTTTTATATAACAGTAGAAATTTAGTGCATCTCACTTTGGACAGGGAGACCAACTGTAGGTTAGAGAACTTTCTAAATTAGTGATTTAAGTAAGCCCTATTCAGAAGCAGACACATATTTTGTGGTGCACTATCGCATTCATTAATTTGACAATAGCAAATAAAGTTGACTATATTATGAGGTTATTATAGTGGATTAATAATAAAAGTACCACACACAATTGCACAAAAGTAATGGTATTTTAGTAATATGAAATCTTCCTACAGGTTGCAACTACAGTATTTGCCAAGAGGGGAGAAAGGACAGTCTCACAAGTAGGCATGATTATGTTAAGCCCCAGTCCTGTAAGCACGCACTGTCTTAACTTGACTCATTTTGGTTATCTCATTGAAGTCATTGTAAACTTTACACATGGTGCCTAAGTATTTGCAGAACTGAGGGTGGAGTGAAGTTTTCTCTTTTTATTAGCATATCCAAATTGTACTACAATTTAATTAATTTACATATTACAGCTGATTGACCCGAACTTTATTTCTTATTGTATTGTTCTTTCCTGACCATATTTGTCCAGGCTTTGTTGTTACTGTACCCTAATTCTCACAGAAGTTAGTCATTTAAACATGACCTCATTTCTATATCCCCAGGTTGAATGATCTGCTCTTGAATATTCTGTCTTCTGTGTGCTGAACCATTACTTTGCCTAATAACAAAATTAAAATGATAATCAGTGTAAAATTATTTTTTAAATCTATATAATTTTAGAACATATAGAGAACACTTGAGAGAGTCCAGAGAAGAACCACATGCATGGTCAGAGGTCAAGAAAACAGACCTTATGATGAGAGGCTGAGAGCCCTGGGGCTCTTTAGCCTGGAAAAGCACAGGCTCAGGGGTGATCTGGTGGCCACCTATAAGTTTATCAGGGGTGTTCATCAGGATCTGGGGGAACATCTGTTCACCAGAGCACCCCAAGGGATGACAAGATCAAATGGTCACAAGCTCCGCCGCGACTGATTCAAGTTGGACATAAGGAAGAACTTCTTTACTGTCCGAGCCCCCAAGGTTTGGAATAGATTGTCACCAGAGGCGGCTCAAGCACCCACTCTGAATGCCTTCAAGACACATTTGGATGCTTATCTTGCTGGGAATCCTATGATCCCTGCTGACTTCCTGCCCATGAGGCGGGGGGCTGGACTTGATGATCCCCCAGGGTCCCTTCCAGCCCAAATGTCTATGAAATCTATGAAACACAAGATCCATCCTCTACTTTATAGTGCGCTCTATTTGAAGGAAACTTTGGAGAATGTGTACATTCCAAGTGCAGATCATTTTAACTCCCAAATCCTCTGATTCTCTGTTGTGGTCTCCAGGGAATTTTCTCTCTGGAATCTGGAGGATTCTGAGACTCTGAGCTTGTCTGCAGTTCTGAAAGTGTTTTGTCCTCCAGTTCACCACCATTCCATGCTTTATCAGTGATATTTTAGTATCTAATACCTCCAGCATCACTCTGTATGTCTTGTTTATTTGCTTTTATGTTGTGTAGAAAGTACTTCAGTCTAAGACGGTGTAGAAATTTAAATAATGAAGCATCCACATTATCAAAGGGTGAAAATGTACTTTCCATGGCTTCTATTTTGTTTTAAGCAATTTATGCCCATTCTTAGACAGCTCAAACAGACCATGCCAGTTCAGTATAAGTTGCTACATGCTTATAAGCACAAGGAGAAATTTGTTTTAACCCCCCCCCCACCTCCCAAATCTCTATGCTGTATTTCGAGGCCACTTCATTGGAAGGCCCTGATGCCACCTCACTGCTTTAATACAGCATTTTGGAGTCAAATCCTATCCTCAGTGGCATTCTGTACAATTCCCTTTGTCAGTGTGTCACATATGCAAAGCCAGTGACAGATTTTGACCATTCCATGATGTATTTATTTTATTATTGAATGATAACTTCACTTAAGTCTCCCAAATAAAGACCCAGAAAATGCCCCAATACAACAAAAGCCCTCCACAAGCATCATTTTGGCATGCAAGATATACATGAAGGAATGTGCTACTCCTACATACTCCATCCAGTTGTTTCAGTTTGCTGAGACGTTGCCATGAAAGCATTTTCTGGTGACAATAGTCTGAGGAATGAGATGCATCACTCATCCCTTCTTGCTTCTGAATTTCTTTGCGCAGTATTGCCATGGCTAGCAACTTCTGAGAGGCAGTATCCCAGATGAAAATGACACTAATGTTATCTGCTTTACAGAGCAGAGAAGATGAAAATAAGAGTTGAAGAAAAGGGTGTGTTTTTCTTCAGCAGTTGAAATCAGTACAGATTCATTAGACAACTGTTGTGTTCCTTAGTGTTTGTTTTTCTCTGGAAGGAGGGGAATAATTTTGGGAGGTGTATAATTTTATATTTTGCTGTGGGTTAATAGAGCTTGTTGAGAATATTTACCTGAAAAGAATCACATTGTCCATTTGTTCAATTCAGCTTCAAGATAAGCTGGCTGAAAAGGACAAGGAGCTGAAGACAATAAAGCTGGACTTAGAACTGCAAGAGAGAGCTACGGAAGCTAAGATTGCAGAAAAGACTGCAGGTACAGTAGGCAAGCATTTAACAGATGGTCATATAGATCATACAGTACCTGCGGTTGCTATATGACGTGGCCTAGTGAATGTTAGCTATATTTGCTAAAGGAGGGAAGGTTTGACTTTTTTTTTTATGTGTGGCTGTTTAGAGTTGCCTAGAAAATAGGTGGCTTTAACATCCTGGTACTGGTATTAGTAAGAGCTTTACCTGTATTCATACTGATTTGGGCATTAAATGCATTGTTAACACCATGTCAATCCAATCACAAAAAGGTTGTTTGTTTTGTTGGAAGGTCCTGAACAAACAAGGGGAAATAATGATTACCAGTGCCTCTACCTTTCAACCAGCAGTTCAAATACCACTTATTGTTTTAGCTTGTTCAGAGCAATACTACCCCGCTTTGTAGGGAGATAGTCACACGTTCACCTCAACTGGAGACCTGCACTTTACTTGAAAAATCTCTTCTTCTGGTAGTTAATGAATTTTTGTCTGATGACGTTGATGATGGTATATCTCCAGAGGATGAAGTTTATAACAGATTTCCAAAGTGAAAGGTTTTTAAAGTTAAAAGGCACTACTGGCACTACTTTAAAAGAAATTTGGAACACAATACAACACAACACGCATGTGTTGGTGTTGTTTAACCATTGTTCTTCAGGTAGGTTTGTAAGAAAGGAATGTTTTAGTATTGAGAAGTGATTTCTAATTTTGGGGTCTACAATATACTATATAGATCCAGCATACTATTAATAGAGAGGCAATACTGTAATACCTAAAAGACAGATGACTGTTATTTTTCAAATCTTTCTCCATATGATTTAAATAGGATATGAACATTTTATGAATTACTTCACATAACCTTAATTTTTCTTGAAAATAAACTTTTAAAGTAGGAGCAAAGTGTAAAATTGCTACTTAATGTACATTTTTATATAATATTAATAGGTCAGATACCTGTGTCCAAAACACTGGTATGGAAGGGACTCATTATCCCTAGGAAAATAGTGGTGGAAAAAATATAAATAAAATGCTCCAGCTTAAAGACAATAAAAAGGATGGTTGACTTTTTGTTTAATGTGAGACTTGTAAGAGTGATCTACTTTGTGTGCCACAGATAGAAAAGAGGGTGCCTGGGGCCAGTTTGTTGTGGCAGGGGTAGAGCAAGGTTCTGGGAAGTAAAGTTTCTTTTTGACTAAGCCATCCTGTGCATAATCAGAAGAAATAAATCTTCTGTATATACTATGGTTACATCTTGATTATGTTGCAGCCAAACTTTTATGTAAATAGTTTGGATTAAATTCCAGGTTATATGTTTGTTTTTGGATGTTTGTGCAGTGTTTTACTTCTGTGTGTATAATAAAGAAATATTTTATTCAAAGTAGATCTTCATTGCTTGTTAAACCCTCTGAAAAAATACCATAGATACAAAATATATAGTCAGATTACTAACCATAGAGACATAACTGTTGGGAATCTTTTTCCTTTTTTATTTTCTGATTATATTTCTAAATATGAGAATGGTATCCTGTCCAAAAAGATATGACATGAATAGTAGGCCTGTGCGAATAGGGAAGTATTCAATTTGGATTCAGATTTGGCTGATTCAGAGGACAGTGATTCGATTCGGTGATTCGAATCACTTTCCCCATTTGATTCGGCCAAATCAGAATTGGAGATTTGGCACTGAGTCAGATTGGCCAGGGAGAGGCAGGCATAGCCAGGCAGCTGTGGGTTCTTCTGTGGCTCCTCTAGCTGTGCCTGCCTCCCCTCAGGTGGGGAGAGCCACGGGAGAAGCCCGCATGACTGCCCTGCCCAGCCCCAGCCTCCCAGCACTTAAAAAAAAAAAAAAAAAAAAAAAGGCCCACAGTCACTGGCTGCAGCAGTGGCAATCAGGGTCTCTGAGGGCTTGAAGTGGAATCCCCTCCCATGCAGCGCAATGCAGTGGGGGATCGAATGATACAATAACTATTTTTGTGGCCCTACTCTCTTTCTGCCTTCTGCACCTTCTGATTCAAATAGTACAAAATCATAGTGATAAATAATTGCTGAGAAATAGGATGTCTTTCTGTTTGTAATCTAACTGGAAGCAGAAATCATTAGTAACCTCTATACATTGTTTACTTCTTGGTCTCTTTACCAATATAAAAGAGGTGGTTGGGATAATTTGGAAATATGGAGTTATCTGAACCAAACTGAATTTGGTTCAGTGCAGGTTTGTGCGTATCTCTAAAAAATAACTGAAGAAACTGATCTAGTAGGTAGCCAAAGGCTTTAGTAATGGAAATTTTAAGGAATTTAAAATTTAGGAAAATTATTTCATTTGCTTGTGTTTAGTTTTTTGAGGAAGGGGGATATGAAATCCTAGCACTTTGTTAATGTTTAATTACTACTGTGTATGCACCTGGAAGAGTGAGGTTAATAAATATGGCTGTTTGCATTCTTATCAGAGTCGGTAGGAAGCCATAATAGGAAAATGACTTTGCAAAAGTATATAAAAAAACAGTATCACAAAAGTACATCATAAAACAGTTACCATCTACTCCCAGAGACATTACAATTAGCTTTAAAAAGGTAACCTTCCAACTGAGAGGTTTTTGCTCATTTTAAATTTGTGGCAGGACAAGAAAACATAGAGACAGAAGAAAAGGCGATTTTTAATTTTAAACTATCATAGATTTCAGCAACAAATACCCAAAGCTTGTTTTATGGTCCTCACTTCTTGAAAAGCATAACCTGCATAAGAAGGAATAAAGAGGAAGAGGGCAAATATCTGAAGGGCTGCAGGGCAACAACAAAAGAGGAAGGAAAAATGGAAAGGAGAGCGATACAAGGCACTTGTAATTGTCTGCAATATATAATTAGGATATGTTGTCAGATAGGGCCTTCCTCTCTCCCTCTGTCCTTGCCTTATACCAGTCTTTGTCCTCAGTTACCTTTTCTGTCCCAAGTATCTCAAGTTGTTTTTGTTGGGATTTTGTTTGTTATGGTGGGCTTGGTCATGTCCCCCCAGATGCACACACTTCTTTTTCCCCCATTTTGATTTGGGAGATGAGACTTGGACCAGTAATCCAGAAAAGGAAACAATTTCATCAGGAGGAGGGGGAGGGGAGGAGGGGAAGGAATAGACCAATATTTCTAAGCCATACTGCCTAATAGGGGCAACCTGAAAATGCTAATTAAGCTGGTGATCAGCATACTGTTTCTGAAAAATGACTCTTAAAAACTACATTCCTTTAGACCAGTGGTTTTAAATCTGTGGTCCATGGACCCCTGGGGGTCTGCAGGCTATGTGTTAGGGGTCTGTGAAAGGTGCTTATGATCAGTCAAAAGTATGTGAATGCTCACACTTACCATTCAAAAGGATCTACTACTATATTCAAAATTTCCAAAGGGGTCTGCACCTCCATTTGAAATTTTTAGGGGTCTGCAAATGAAAAAAGGTTGAAAGCCACTACTTTAGATCAATTAAATAACTTACTCTTTTGGTCACAGAAATAGAGAAGTGCACTTCCCAGGTGCTGTTTTTCAGTGGAATGCCTATTACCTAAGTTGGAGAAGGATACAGAAGAGAAACTTTATGTAGTAGTTTGGCTTCTCCAACTCTCACACTGTCACCCTAAATATCCTATCCTGTTGTTTTTGGGGTGGATTTGGGACTTTTTTCTCCTGCTATTTGCATTTAAATCCTATATTTGGTAAACCAAAGTCACTTCACTTTCCCAGAAAAGTGGCCTCATAAGCATTTTGCTTATAGAATGACTTTACACTTACTGTTTAAGGTGCCATAAAGACAAGGAGCAGTATGATTAGCAGGAACTTAGCACTGGATTGACTATTGCATTTTCAGGATATTCAAAACATGTGCCTGGCAGGAGGCATGATTGTGGGATTGTGCCTTAGATCCCATCATGCCTTATTTGCTGGTGCAGGGGGAGCCTTATGCACCCCCACAGCTGAGAGATTGCAGCAGCTGGGCTCCCAGCCATGGGGGTGCATGGGGTGCCCCTGCAGCTGGGAGATTGCAGCCGCTGCCATTTCCCAGCCACAGGGGTACATGGGGCCCCCTGTGGCTGGTAGCCCTGTCAGCTGGGATCTCTGAGGCTTGGGTGTGCACGTAGGCCCTCCCAGCTGGAGGCTTCAATCAACTGAGAAGCCATAGGGGCCTCTGGCCACACTTCCAGTTAATGGCATGATAACTTTCTAGCTGCTTCCTATTACACATTTTGTGGAGTAATAGTTTCATAGTAGCTAGGGTCAGGAGGGACCTGATGTTGTAGCTTATTCCTCTTTTCATCACACCATTAATTGATTGAATGTGTGGTTAGGTGAGCACTTAAAGTGTGATTAACTGGTTAAACATGCCTTAAATATAATGTGTAGATGGAGCCTAAGAGCCATACCTCTCTGTATGAGGTAATAAGGTACCTGCCTCTATGAATCAGCAAACTGGCTTAACCCTTTCTCCGCAGAATCAACATTGACTGATAGGGTAGACTGTTTCAACAAATACCAGCTTATTACAATTAACAGTAGAAACCTTTGCCCTGTATAAGATCGAATCATAGAAAATTGGGGCTGGAAGGGACCTCAGGAGGTCATCTAGTCCAACCTCCTGCTCAAAGGCAGGACCATCCCCAACAAGATCATCCCAGCCAAAGCTTTGCCTAGCCAGGTCTTAAAAGCTTCCAAGGATGGAGATTCCATGATCTCTCTAGGTAACTTTTTCCAGTGTTTTACTACCTTCTAGGGCTGTGCGAAGCTTCAGTTGCTGATTCGATTCGGCAGAGAATTGCCCCAATTCTGTGGCCGAGTCTCCAAATCCGAATGGAATCAGGAGACCATTTAATCTTTCCAAATCAAATCGGAACCCTCTGAATCAATTTGGAGAGGTTCAGAAAGATTCGATGATTCGGACACAGACGCAGCTTTAAATGTTTTTTCTACATACCTCAAGGTACCAGGGGGCTCATGAATGCTGAGATGATGAGGTGGATGGAGTGTCCCACA